GTCAATGAAACAGAGGAATAGAAGAAGAAGAAAAGAAAAGAAAATTGTGAAAGGAATTTATAGTGTTAATGGAGGATTTGTTGGCTTTATTGTAGGCCAAGGTAAACATACTTCTTCTGTATGCAAAGAGACGGTCTTCTGGCATTGTTTACTACCGCTTCAGATACTGATAGAAGATGTGGTCGAGCTCCTCTAGATATATCACCAGGAACGCGGTAAATAACTGAAAACCCCCGGTCAGGTGTCCAGTATCTAACAAGTGGACTATGACTGCACTATCTACTTGTTTGGTTACCCCTTTACTCAACCATACAGGTAAATGTTCACGCGCGCGGGCATGGATAAAGCCCTCTGGGTATGGCCAATGTAACTAGTTCCACTATTAGTAGTTGAATTCATAGATACACATTCAGGAGGCCATCTTTGGTAATTTATCGTTGGCACGTTGTGTGAGTACTGGTTTTAGCTGAGAAGTTGAGTTCCAGTTTAGCTGCAGGAAATGTTTTGTCTAGAGCTCTATTAAGTCGATATTTTAGAATGTCAGCTGCAATTTCCCCTTTGTACATAGGTTTATTTATCCATGGTATCCATCATTACCCCACCTCCGGTTATCGACATATACATTTTTAGGAAGTTCTTTGGATATCCATTTTCTTATAGTGTAAATTTCAGTTTACACACTTTTACCTCTTAATGCATTCCTTTGAACATATGCCTTTTATTCTATAACGAAGAAGACACTTAACTGAGTTTCTTTTGTATTGAATCAGTGTGAAGCTGTGAAAATGGGTCTACACTGACCCTTCCAAGTCATCTTTCTAAATAGGTTTCTGTGCAGATATCCGTCTGTCTTCTTCGTGAGGAGGACGTCTAGCAAAGGTATTATGCTGTTATTATTGGTCACAATAAATGTTGTGTGTGATATCGTACATGACAATTAAGTTAATGCAAGCGAAATAGCACGTTCTCAGAATGTTTCGTTTCCAATGGAAACTACAGTGAATTCTCGCATAGAACAGAGTAGTTTGCCAGTGATGAGTCGGATTCTCCGGCAAAAAGAGGGTCATACTGAAAATTTTAAGCTTTTTATGGCATTGAGGCTTCAGTGGTGGAATATTCGCTAATCCACGCACGTGGTCCGGGTTCAATTCCGGCTCGACTCACTTCTAAACCTCGCATAGCCGATAGTAATCCCGGTAAAAAGGAAATTGTTGAGCGTGTGACTAATAACCTCATATCGTAAAAATACACCACTTCTGCTGCTGCTGAGACCTCAAAGATCAACCATGAAGTCCTAGATCCCATTCAAAAAGCAAAGGAATTGAGGGAAAAGGAGATGCTTCAAGGGAGTTTCCGTCCAAAGTTGAATAAGAATCGTCGATGAAATCAACCGGAATTAATAATAAGTGCAACTTTTATTTATGACTTGCCACTCCCCCCTCCCTCTCGCCCCTTGACAGAGTATTTTTATTTGTTGTGTATTTCTAAGGTTTCAAATTTATTCTCATACTCACTTTTTTTTCTGATTTTTATAATAATGCCTTTTCTCTGCTTATTGATTTTTTGATTTGTTTTAGTCAATTGGTGAATTTTTGTGGTTATTGTGTACCTCACCCCCTAGAGGATATGATTAACTTTGATATCCAAATGAAAAGTAAGTTTTCATCATTGTCAATTTATGCTTTTAATGTTAGAGTAGAATTTTCCGCAGTGTGTTGTAGAATCTAATTCTATGCATTGGATAAGTCTGCTTGATGTAACACACACATGCACACACACACACGATGAGAGTGAAACAGAATTAATAACTGGTTGACGTTTTGAGCACAATTAATGATTATTATTATTATTGTTCCCTTGGGTTCCTAGTGGAACATCGGGCTTCAAATGCACGTCTGCACTCGTTTCTGTCTTCTGCTGTACTTTTCACTTGCATCCATGTTAATCCATACTGTTTCAACTCCTCTTCACACGATCTCCTCCATGTCACCCTTGCACTGACGTCCCACTCGCCGCTTCCCTTTCGGGTTCCACTCGAGCTATGGCCTGACGCGCGATGTCACCCAGCGAGTGGCCTCCTCAGCCAGTGAGTGTCCAATCCATCTCCACTTTCTCCTGCATATTTGTTGAGCGATTGGTTCTTGTTTTGTTTGTTCCCATAGTTTCTTGTTGGTTCTTGTTCTTTCCGGCCATCTGATCTTGAGTATAGAACGAAGACAGCTGTTGATAAAGGTCTGCAACAGGCTGTTGGAAATATCCTTTGTGACCCACCGCCAAGTTTCTGATCCATCCGTATAGAAGAACTGACTGACTTGACATTTGTATTGAAAATCCGAATTTTGTTGTTGATGTTGAGGAGTGACGATGACGCATAATCCACTCCACCAGAATTAGGAATATCATTGGTGATAATAAGCACCCTTATCTGACTCCTGTGTTTACTCCAAACGCCTCTCTGAGTTTTCCGTTGTGGATCACTTGACATGTGCCGTTGTCGTACAGTTGTTGAATTAGGTTGATGAATATTTGGGGTACGCCGTAGTACTCGAATAGTTGCCAAATTACTTCGCGGTCAACGCTGTCGAAGGCCTTCTCAAAGTCTATAAAGTTGAGGTAGAGGTTTGACCTTAGTCTATTAGTTTCGGAAATTTTTCGGATCATCACACACCATCAGCGCAAAGGTATCAGTTGTGTTTCAAGTCTTCTTAGACGAGCACACTCTTTGATGTTAATGGATGAGAAAGAAAAAGACGAGGAAATATCAAACATTACTGAAACTCTCAAGCAAAACAACTACCCAGGGAACTTCATCAACAAAATCAACACTGACACTTAAGTATGGTCGAAAACGTATTCCGAAAACATGAACCTCAACAGTTGTCATTCCATATAGAGCGGATATGTCAGACGATATCAGAAGAGTACTCAATAAGCTCAACATCAGAGTTTTCTTCAAAACATCAGACACAGTGCGAAACAACCTTGTCCATATAAAATACCAAATCCCTAAAGGTTCTCTATCTAATTGTGTCTATAAAATAAAATGCTTGCTTTGAATGTGATGCGATATACATAGGACAGAAATCGCGAGAAATCAAAATCAGAAGAAATGAACACCGTAGAGCCATATCTGTTCGACCACCAAGAAATAGCGAAATGTCAGTAAAAACAATATCGTTTTGTTTCTCGTTCATTGGGAAATACAAAAACCTTTATTATAATGAATGCCCCTAAGATCATATGTAGGTTCATACTGATAATAATTACCAGAAAGTGAAATTTGTCATTTCATACAAGACCGCTTTAGAGTGTAAGAGAAAACCATGAACACACTATGTGATAAAATATAAAATACCATATCAGATCAATTTATTTGACTTAGTGTACGTTGATTTAGTATTTACGGTCTCTCTGTGTCATATCATCCAACAGCAGAGATACAGCCGCCAAAGACTTTTTATGTTAGCTGAATTCCTTTTAATATGTATGACATTATGATTAGATTTCATCAAGCAACAGGTTTATGACAGTCTCTTTCACTGAGGCGGATACTCGTCAAGTACATTTTACCTACTGAAGAAATGACATTCGAACACTTGTGTGATGTAGTTTGAGGCTATAGTGTACACCTTGAGCATGCAACGGGTGTATGACCCATCTTCATTCTCTTCGGCATGAAAAGGTTGACTGTTTTTGACCATAGATATCTACGATCTCTTTCTCACGTTAGGTGGTATAATGAGGTAAGTAATGTTGACGTTGGGCGTAGAGTGTTGGGAAAAGAGGCAAAATCAATCGACGAGGCTATAAAGTTACATAGATTAAGATGATGGCATGCCTAACCATCGCCTCCCCCGACGGGCATTACTAGCTGATATAGGTGCAAGTTGGAAAAGAGTAAGTGGTGGCCAAACAAAAACATGGCATCAATCAATCCATGAAATCCTTGACAGTTAAACTGAGTCAATTCAAGGGAGATGCAGACTTCCGGGTTGGGGCCCGCCCTCGGGACTCTAAGAATCAATGGCTGGAGACAGAGAGACAATAGGTGATATGGCTCAAAATCGTTGTCAATGGCTTACGCAGATGTATTCAATCCCTGTAATCTTTCATATTCCTTTCTACCATTACTCACTCCGTTTCACTCATATACTTGTCAAAACTCTATTGATTCTCTTCACTCATTTTCTTGTCTTGTCTACCTTTGTGTGGTATTTGGAACGTGGCAACTCGAAGTACTGCACTTCGGTTCCAAGTTCTATGTTGAATCCAGACAGACAGACATTCTTTTCGGCATGTTTGTTGACCAATAGGTTCTTGGTTACTTCGTTCCCAGAGGCTATTGTCGTTAATTCTTTCTGGTTCAATCTATGTCAATTTGTGAAGTTATAATCAACACCTGTAATGTTGTCTAACAACTATATTCCCTTTTTCATACATTTCAGGAGGTTCAGCTATCGATGCCTTACGTGATGGACTACAATGTCTTCATGATTGTTTCAAGCATATGAAACAATCGTTTAAATCAGCAGTGAAGTCATCTAGAAGTACAGGAAAGTAATAATAATGGAGGAGATTTTGGATTCCCGCCTTTACGCTTTCTTCCTGTTACTCCATCTTTTTGCTTCAATTTTTGATTAAGCACCAATTATTTTCTTTCCTCAATTTTATTAACAACAAAAATAGAAAGTGTACAGAAAAATTTATTCATCAAATGCATTTTTTTTAAATGCCTCTAATGAAACTAACTGTACAAAGGAATACAAATCAACTGTTTTAAGGATGAATGTGTTTTTAGAAGATGAATAAAACATTTGATCAATCAAAATTTCTCTAAATTATAACTCTAACTAGTAGTTGTGTTGGCGAACCAAGAAAATGAAAAGAACGTAAAACTGTACTTTGTGTCGATGCTTCGGTGATAGGATACTCGGCAACCACACACATGGTGTGGGTTTCGATTCCCAGACGACTCACTCCTAAACCATTGCACAGTTTATTAACCGATTGTAAGCCAGGATAAGAGGGAATTTTGAGCGTGAGGTTAGTTACCCCCACACCCTGCTGAAACATCATAAGCGCTACTGAAACCCCAAGGTCGAAAACCTTATGTTCTGATAAGATATCGGTGCGTGAGACTCACGTATTTAAGTAGACGGCTAGCCAACTTAGCACCAGATGTCACGTCATCGTATAACGATCCCACTCTCTACGCTTCACACGTGCACATTAAGGTGAAAAGATGATGGGGAATGAATGCTATCAGATCAGCCCCAACGGGTTGATCTCTGACGAAATCTCAGCACGAATACAGAGGGCTAGTTTCGCATATGCCAGTCTACGCCGTCTCTGGCGTAGACGTGATATCCGACTATCGACCAAAGGGCGTGTGTACTGCTCAGCAGTCCGCTCCGTCCTCCTTTATGGCTGTGATACCTGGCCATTGAGAGTGGAAGACATGAAAAGATTAGCTGTCTTTGATCATAGGTGTCTGCGTTCTATCTCCCGTGTGAAGTGGCATAATAAAGTGAGCAATATTGAGGTTAGGCATCGGTCGAGTGCTAGGTAAGGAGGGGGAATCAGTCGACGAGACGTGAAATTACATCGACTGAGATGGTTAGGACATGTGTTACGCATGCATGCCTAGTCATCGCCTTCCTCGACCGACGGGCAATGTTAGCTGATATAGGGTCAGGCTGGAAAAGAGCTAGCAATGGTGGTCAAACCAAAACATGGCACCAGTCAATGAAATCTACAACAGTTAGTCTAAGCCAGCCACGTAGGAAGGTGTAGACTTCCTGACTGGTTGGGATCCTCAGGACGGTAAAAACCAATGGTTGGGAACTATTGGTGACATGTAGCTCAAAATCGTTGTCAATGGTTGGCGCAGATGCATCCACTCCTTGTGACTTATGATTTCCAATTAAACTGTTTTGTTCTTCGTTATTACTATACTTCGTCTCACACCTCTGTTTACTGTCTATATTATGCATTTCTTCTCTTGCTTTGTGTAGTACACGGAGTGTGGAGACTTGAACTGCCGCACATATGTGCAAAGTTCTATTTCGAAAACCGACCGACGGAGATGACTATAACAGCAAACTAACAAGAAAGTGTGGTATTACGTCGAAATTCACAATCTGCAATTTATACAGTTCGAGAGGATTATCTCACTATAGTTTTTCTTTTGAAAACTGAGATTATTCAGACCGCAGTATGTGATCTATTTGATACCATAAACAGTAATCAAGAAGACAAGTGTAAATGCATAGGACTATATACTACTGATTGTTTCAGATGAGTAGTTGTATACCACTGACATCAACCAGTAGTCCTTGCTAGCCAGATCTAAGTGATCTAAACACCAAATGGTCGATTCTCTCCTGTTTGGGGTCAAGCTCATCAGTGATGCACCTGATTTGACTCATCTCGGAGAGCCGCATCACCACCTGAATTCTCAGTTTACAAAGGAAACTGTGATGAAATAATCGCCACGCACTGTGTGAATTGCTTACTGATTTGCAAATTGTAAGCTTAATTCATAGTATGATCAGTTTACCGAAATGGCTAACAAGAAGTTGGACGATTTGAACTGATTTTGCTCTCTGTGCTGAGTCAGACTGGGTTCACCATTGATGAGGTTGGCCCCTAAACGCGAGCGAATTGGTTGTCCAGTGCTTAGATCACTTCACTCTGGATAGTAAGTACTACTGGCTGATATAAGTAGTATGCGAGTGCTTATCTCAATCAATCTGTAGTATATATAGTTTAATATGACACTACAACTTAAGCGGAAATAAAGTATTGTGAATTTGAATAAAGTATGAACGGTGGTTTGTGCAGAATAAGATGGTATCATCGTTTTTTTAGTCGGCTGCTTACTGTCTAAAAAAATTAGTAAGTGTTCATATAGGACAATTTTAACACACTTGGAAATGGTGCATGATGTCAGTCAAAAGTGGACTAGAGACCTAATAAACAGTACTCAGGGATGATACTTATACACAAAAGTTTAAACATAAGCGTGAATGTTGTAGCGGCAAATAATTCCCCAAAATTATTGACCACAGCAATCATCACTCAACATTGGATGCTGACCGTCACTGTTTAAGTCGACTTGTTTAGCTGAAGGCTTCCGGTCAAGCATCCATGCTATTTGGTACTCCGTCGTGTCACGTGCGTGCACGATCACTAGCTAGATAAGCACTCGAAAGGGTTTACTATTTGGTGCCGAAATATATCATGTACTTTGGACGACTAAATATGGTCTTTTGCTTTATCTTCGATACACGAGAAACGAATACTTTAGAAGTTGTTGCTATAAGATCTTGCGTTAGTATACTCCGTACAATTCGCGAACGTCGATACCGTCAACCTCCAAAATGTAGTGGCAAGGGAGTTGCGTAATAAAGACAATGGGTAGATACAAGTGATGTCAGCTCCTGTTGAAATCCTCCAACAATGCTAAGTAGCTAATAAGTTGAGCAACAATGTAGTGAGTTCAACTGGAATCATAGAGACTAAAGGAAAGCGAAATTACATTATGACGAAGGGAGAAAATTTAAAACAAAAGATTACATAATCAAACGAGGAAGGTGTACAGTAAAAACATCCAGTTATCAAGGCAAAGAGACAGTGATAATTACTTCTTTCTGAACAAATCAATCGGGTTTCAGGTGTTCGATGATGTTACCGCTAAGCGCGATCATGGTTTGCTTGTCACAACCCTCTTCTTTGACTTCAAAAAAGCCTTTGATAAAGTCCCACACAAGAGACTAATCCTTAAGCTAAAGTCGTACGGGTTCCAGGACCCCTTGTTATCCTGGCTCATTTCTTTCTTGGAAGATCGTTCCCAAGTTGTGAAATTTGCAAATAATTACTCGTCACCCAGACCCATACGAAGTGGAGTAATTCAGGGTAGTGTACTAGGTCCATTGCTTTTCGTAATCTACATTAACGATATCTGCAGCATAATCAAGCATGGTACCCCATACCTCTTTGCTGATGACTTAAAGATTGTATACAGCTTCCCCCATTCTACAATGAACGAGGGATTCACACATATTCAAGATGATCTGGATAGATTACATAACTGGAGCACTGATTGGCAACTGCCATTCAATTCTGATAAATGTGGTGCCTTATATTTCAATAACTCCCACCCGTATTTCAGGTTACACCTAGGTGACTCCTCTCTCCAAACCCTCAATTCCATAAAAGACCTGGGAGTTACCTACTCACAGAACTTAACATTTAGTCAGTATGCAAAAGCACTTGTTTCTAAATGCCGAAGACTCACAGGCTTGTTACATCGAAAAATGTACACAACTGAGGCTAAAGTCCTTTTATACAAAGTCATGGTTCGCCCAGTAATTGAATACTGCACAATTGTCTTCGGTTTCATGAATGGGTATGACAGGGTTCGTATTGAAAATATTCAGCGAAGTTTTACACGACGCCTATTACACAAACATGAAGGACTGACTTACGCGGATAGGTGCAAAATGTATAGACTTCAGCCACTTTGGTTAAGGCGCCTGAAACTCAACCTTACATTCCTTTTTCGCCTTTTACATGGCTACCTCAAAAGCAGTAATCCAATAGCTTTCAATAATTTAACCATATATACTCTTAGAAATCATGAAAATACTCTATCCATAAGCCGGTACCGGACAAAACTGCGATCAAGTTTCTTCAAAATACAGTACAGTGCATTATGGAACAAACTTCCACTTAATGTACGTAGTTGCCGATCTCCCACTGAATTCCAGCGTCTCCTTAACGAGTTCTTGTCAACAAAAGAGCTTCGGTCTACTTATCCATACTTTACCCATATGGGCTGTTCATCTAACTTTGGTACTACAGACCCCAGTGCAATACCCCCAATTTGAGGAAACTCATTTGCCCCAGCAACAGTACCGCACCTAAAACGTGATAAAACCAACCCAATTTCTCCCACATACCTTGGTCTGAGGTTTGGTTATTCAGCTTATTGGAGATCTTATCAATATTTCATCAATCGGGCTTATAAACTCATAAGACTATCCATAATTATCCTGGACGTATAATCCCAAATTAGTTGTGATAGTTCTTCCATAATATAAGCAAACTGTTACTTTGTAATGTCTAAAGCACGCCATATGAAAAGTGGCCAGGAAAACATAGCAATAACAAACTCAGCCAACCAACCATTTTCCCCAAGCTCATTCAACCTAACCTTATCTTTAATCGTACCACTATCCACTACACTCTAATCCGTAGATTATGTCTTAATTTGCCCCAGTACTGAAAACTCTTCTACCTTTTACTTTTAAAGATGTTCTAACTACTAACTGCGCAGTAACCGTTTAACTAACTCACTGACTTTCTCTTCACTGTAATCTTCAATAAGTTCGTCAGTGTAATTATTTCCATAAACAATTACATTAGCAACCATATCTTTTAATATTTTACATATATGCTTATATTATTAGCACTATTTTTGAGTTGAAATAACTATCTTCAGTCAGCACCTACCCATATTCATATAATTTTCTAAAAAATTCATAATGTTGAAATTATGTAGTATTTCTCCATTATATAATTGATGAGTCACTTTGCAATGTGTAACGCACACCATATAAAATCGGTCGTGAAAATTTAGCATAACAAGTTCTGCTAACCAGTTGCCTTACTCAGGACCACTTTACATAACTTTATCACTAATTGTTCCACTTCTCATATCATTCTGATAAATAGAATATAACTTAGTTGTTCTAATATTAGCTATTTTTATACTTCATAACTCTTAAGGGAAACCTAATTTCTTAGTCTTTTGTAGT